TCGTGCCCCGGTCCGGGAAGATCCCACGTGCCACGGAGCGGCTGGGCCTGTGAGCCATGGCCGCTGAGCCTGTGCGTCCGGAGCCTGTGCTCCGCAATGGGAGAGGCCACAGCAGTGAGAGGCCCGCGTACCGCAAAAAAAACCCCAAAAAACAAAAACCAAACAGCCCTGCCTTCTAGTGTCACAGTTTCACCTGGGCTCTGCGTGGATGGTGGGTCAGGGAGGGTTTAGTAAGAGCTCACAGGCCTCGCCCCGTGGAGGGCCGAGGGGCGAGGCTGGCCACAATGGTGATCAGATCTCTGTCAATAACGTTCACAGAGCCAGAGGTCCCGTCCCTGGGGCCCGGGTTCTGCGGTGGCTCCTGGCTGAGGGGATGGGAGGCCGGCTTGAGAGGGCGCCATTTAGTAAAAGCCTGTAATCCAGTGGAAGGAGGTCTAGGGCCCACGGCCAGCGCGTTCGAGAACAGTCCTCAGGTGTGGGTACCAGCAGCGGGAGACCACGTGTGGGAGCCGGGCCTTCTTCCGAGAGATGCGCTTCCCCACGATAAGCCCAGGCCGCGGGCAAAGCGGGAGGCTGGTCCTTGCCTGCCAGGAGCCCCTTCCTGACCCTGGGAGAAATGGAACCACAGGGCCATCAGGGGACAATCTTGGCCTCGAAGGGTGGTTGGTGGGGGGGACTTGGGCGGCCACGGGTGTCTGTGGAAGGGGCTTGGAGACTGCCTGAGGGCTGTCAGTGGGGTGGGGGGTGTCAGCCTGACGGAACCATCAGGAAGCCTCACCTTCGTACAGAACCAGAGGTGTCAACGCTCAGGGTCACACAGTCCCTCTTTCAGCTTCAAAGACCACGTCTAGGAAGGGCTGTCTTCTGGAAATGAATCTCCTCGCAAAGACCTTCAGAACCTAGTGTAATAAGCAAGCGGTTTCCACAGCCCTTCTCAGGGTGAAGGTCCTTTCCTCCCCTCCTGTTGTTTCAGCACCTGTTCTATTTTCCTGTCATCTCGGTGATGAAGCTGGCTTCTGTCTTCTCATGAGAAGTTTCATATCTGGGGGATATTTTCCATCCGCTGCTTCTGCTTAGCCAAGTCCATTTTCACTAGATTTTCGTGTATTTTTTTGGAAACTCATATTCTAATGCTCTTTCTAAGATTTTAAAGAGGTGATAAAAATGCAAGATGTTTTATGAGTGTCGTTTTTAAAAAAGTCAATATATTCAGACGCGGTATCTACAGTTTTGATGGTTTCTCTCCAGCCTCTGACTTGCTGCTTCCCTTCCTGCCTGGGGTTGGACCCAGGCATATATTCCCTCTGAGAACCCTGCTCTCGCTGCCTTTTCCTGACTCTGCTCCAACCCTAGCAATTCTGTGCAATACAGAAATAACTGAGTTCTATAATGGTTCTTTAGCCCAGTGGGTCTGACCCATTATTAGAGTGTGGAGCCAGTTTTATGAGTCACACCCACATAAAACAATAGAATATTATGCGTTCACACATAGCAAGGGGAAAACCGTCGTTGCAGCTGTGTGTGTGTGTTTACAGCATGACGTCCGGGCCACGATGTGAGATGTATGTCATAGTCGAACATTTTTGAAAGTCCCTGCTGCGCTCTAACATATCACTAAGCTATAAAGTCATTTATAATCTGTCTCCAGTAAAATGGTGTGTGCCTTGGGAAATTAACTGTCACCGGGCCAGGCAGGGCCCCCAGGAGTGCTATAGGGGATGTCATGTCAGAGGGCAGGGGTCACTGTGGGGTGTCTCTGCTGGGGGGGGGGTGGTCACACCCTCTTTGGAGGTTGAAGAAAGATGTGTCTCTGTAAAGTCACAAGAGGGCTTCTCCACTGCTTTGCTGGCTGCTGAGCTCTCAGCTCAGATGTTCCTTCCCCAGGAGCCTCTCCCCTCCCGGCTCCCCCTTTCCGTCCAGACCGGGCTCCTCTGTTAGGTGCTTCCGTAGAACTACAGTCCTCATCATCTGAGCACTTAGCTCAGGCTTCAGTGGTGCAGTTGTTACCATGGTCATTATCTTCTTGTCTATTGCAGCCCCCCCGCAGTCTCCCAGAGCATGACCTCCACAGATGGGCATCAGCTCTGTGTTCGCTGTTGCCGCATGAGCCAATGAGATACCTAGCATGTAGTCGACACTTAGTACAAAGCAATGGCTTGGGGCCGAGGCAGGGAAAACCCCAGCCCCAGAGCTGATTGACATGAGGCATCCATGAAACCCCGTGCTGCCTTATTGCAGAAAGGGGTCGGGGGTCTGATGGCACAAAGAGATTGAAGGTCCAGGAGCTCAGCAGAGGCCTTACCCCCCAGCCCCACACACAGACGCCCGACGACCAGCCCTCTTCCTGCTGACCCGGTTCTCCATGCAAG